TTGATCAGTTTATATGTAGGGGGAAAAAATTCACGGCACGAACGAGTCGAGCTATAACGCAGTTGGACACTAGTGACCTTTCTTGGATTTTGGACCCTAGTGGCCGATTTTGGATTTTGGACTCTAGTGGCCGCCAGACCACAACACTGGGATTCTACGTTCCCTACTCATTGCGAGAAGTGCATGGGTTCTTCAAAGTCCCCTGTTAACCAGTACAGACGGGATGCAGGTCCACGGTTTTCGCAGATGTTATAGCGGAGGCAGCACATTCTCGTCAGTTATTTTAAGACCCTAAGTGTTGGTCTGGTCTAGAGCTTGAACTCTCGATCTCCCGCGCGGCAGTCTGACGCTTTACAGCATGAACTGATCAGGCGGCGGTTGTGTGGGATATTTGGGATGCTGAAGGTTTTCTGTTTTGCGTGTGCATACAAATCTTCTGCAACACTACCTTCGGCTATCGTCATCATACAGCCACTACTTCTTTTCAATGCTATGAAGATTATGCTTCTTTTCTATTAACTTATTCGTAATGTTGTTTCTACTTACAGTAAACTGCAGTTTATGCCATTAATGAAAAGTCTTCATCCCGAGGTAAGAAAACGTTCGAATGAACTGTGAATCTATGAACTGTAAGGAAAACTCGCGCCAACTCCTCAACCAAACAGATGCAAAACATAACTATAATCGTGACCTTTGTACTCACGTCTTCCTACTTTTCGGGCAGTTTATATGTTGCTTTGAATTCTTATTAGCCCCTTGGGTGACTTTGGTGTACAACACTCATTTGAAATGCGCCATAAAGAATCGTGAGTATAGTAAGTTTTAGCAGTAAGTATGTTATTTGTGTGGTCTGATGAAGTACGTTGATCCTTTAAGGACTGTTGTCAGTAGTAGCGACTGATGTTTTGACAACCTGAGCGGAAGTCATTATCAGATGACTCAGGTTGTCGAAAAGTCAGTCACTACTGCCGACAACATTCCTTTCAGGATGGGATTAACGCACTTTCACCCAGACGATGAGAGCACGCGATCACTGTTACTCCAAGGTTCACACTGTTCACTTTCCATGTTGTTATCTGTTTATTAGATCCGAGTTATGCAGTTACCTGAAGGTGAATGTATCTGCCGTGTGATAGGATTTAACAAAGATGACGACAACACAGTTGTTACAAACTACTACCAGGTAAAAGCGAAATAAATCGTCAAGTCTTTTGCAAGCCTCTCTTTGTCTTACTGTTTAGTTGAGTATCACGGTCTTGTGCGTCGACCAATATATTACTTTAACGCCAAAGGAACATCTTTATATGTTTTCTCTTCCTATTCGAACATAGAAATAGCAGTGCAGTGAGGTTCCGTTGACTTCGCGATCAGAACGTGGAGAATATCTGTATTTGGATGTAAAAGGATGCGACGTTTTTCTCGTCCTGCTCAAACGTTTTACACTTACTTATCAATTTCATAATTCCTCTTTAGTCTGGTCCCGCAACTGTTGAAGAATTTACCATAATGAACCTTTTGCTGGTATGGATGGACCGTGCTACATTTGTTTGTTTGTTTGCTTTAATTAAGAACGGATTAACTTGTCTACACGAGAATCAGTTTTATGAGAATCGTGAATTACTATTTGGTATGTTAAAACATGTAGTCTTTTTTCTTGAATTTATATATAAATTCTTCTTCTGTTAAGGTGTTTATTTTCATTTTAGATGCAAATGGAGGAGCCATGCTTCGATATACTTCGCACTCAAGAACAACTTGGGTAAGATTTGCTTGCTGTAGATATGGCGCAAAACTATAATGAGCCGTCGATGTCGGCTGAGGTGTTGTTACCCCCTTAGAGTTTCTTTTGTTTTGCAAAAGGATGCCCTGAAACAAGTTCAATATTAGATTAGACGTCTGCTCAAATGTCAGTTGCCTTGTTAGTGTGGTTATCATGACTTTTTAGCGTGAAGCGAGTATCAAGGCTCCCTTAGAGATGAATACCAGTCAAGTTCAGATCAACTTCTCTCTTCCTCCTTCCCGCTCAGCATTTCGTCAAGTTCCCTGTCGGTTCACTAGAACCTAATTCTTCTCTTGAGTGAAGAAAGGCATTTTGTGGGTTGAGTGCCATACCCAGGACTAATGACCCGGCCAAGGCCCGAACCCAAATAGGTAAATCTGCTTTGTCTCCCCCCTCCCGTAAACCTTTAGGCCCCCACGTTCCTCCTGTAGTTTTGGATGATAGAGTTGGCTTCTAACAAGCAAATATTTTAGTTTTTTTTTTATATCACTGCTAAGTCTATTTGTCCGTTTCTCGCCAGGTACTCTGTGTTCTGTTCTTGTAGAAACACATTCGGAGTTCTCGGATTTTCAGTCACCATCCAAACACAAGCTGGAAAATTCAGGTATTTGTTTTTATTTTCGTCGTGTTCCTGCATTCATACGGTTGAATCTAAAACGATAGTGCAGAGAGTACGGTTAGAGAGAGAGATATTTAAACTAGAAATCCTCCACGAGTGATCAGGTAAACAAGATAGATTGGTCTCCTCCAGATTCTACTCTGCACGGAAATCTTTGACTTTGTCAGTTATTTGATTCTTTCAAAGTTGTTACCTTTCTCTATTTTAACTTTACTTCGTGGTTGGTTTTTCAGTGCAGAACATGTCGATAGTAGAATTGATGCATTTCTAGATGAGTTTGGTGAAATATTGTGTTCTCTAACAGACGAAGACTTCAAGAGCCAGGTATGTATATTTTTCTTTTTGCTGTTTTGAAGCGTCTTTTCAGTAGGACATAAATGTTTAAAAGAGTTGCGCACTTTACTTCACTTTTACTTTACTTTTTGAATCCGAATGGAAAAAAACGCAGCATCTTCATTCTACTCGACCGTAAGTTCGTGAAAAATCGTGCACGTCGCTCTCTATTTGAATGTGATTGGACAAAATCTAAGCATCGTAATTCTCTTTTTCTTTGCGGGAAACTCAATATCACTTTGTCGTAAAATCGTGTTACTTTGTTTTGGTTGTCAGGTGGATTCACTTATCGAACTGAAGGAACACGAGGATCTTAGTCTGGCAGATGAAGCTGACAGAAACTGGGTGGAAGTCATAGATCAGACGTACATCTTTAATAGGAAACGACGTGAAGTAAGTGAATACAATCGTCTGCGGCGATATTTTCTTTATTCTTTTAGATGAAAGAATGAAGTGTCACTCTTCATTTTTTACTAGGTTGAAATTTTAAAGAATCTTTCCAAAGAAGAACTTTATCATTGGTTCTCATCACACAGAAAAAATGGTAATAAATACAAGAAGCTAAGCGTCCAGGTAAATATTATTTAGCTTTTACGCAGTGATTAGGTATTTCTTCCGCACTAGTTCATTTAGCTATGAGAAAAAAGGATAATGTTGCATTCAGCCTTTTGTTTCTGAGCACCCCGTCATAACACTTTTACCCGGCTAGTTGTACAGGCTCGGTTACTAAGATTTGATTTTTCAAATTTCCCATAGATCCTTGGGTCAGGTCAGTGCGAGGCGCACACATGCTCAGATAGCCATGTAGACGCGGATAGCGGCCTGGGTAACGATGAAGATTGGCAAATACGGCCACTGACGGTGGACACCTCCGGCACTGCAGTCTTCTGTGTTAAAAACATTTCAGATTTCAAAAGGACGAGAGCTGTTTACCCTGTCGTGAAAATTAAGTGAAGAAAACAGGGCCGCGGGAATGGGCAACAGGATAGAAAAAAAAGAGTGGAAATCTCGCTGAGATGAAATAAGATAATCAAGCAGGAAAAAATGGTCCAAAAAAATTTTTTTCTGCGACCATACAACTGAGTCGGGCTGAACATGGTCACGCTATTGTCTGCTGTCGAGAGAATGCGTGATTTTAGTTAGGACTCCTTACAGCCTTCTTTGCGCGATGGCATAAGGCATCACTAGCAAACATTAAGCAACACTCACAAGGAAGAATAGAATAACTATCGTCAGTTATTTAAACAGTTTTAAAACGAGTGTAGTAAACTCCCAGAATTCACATAAATATACTTAACCCTTTACCTCCCATGAGTGACCAAGAAAGAATTTCTCCTTACAAAATCAATACAATATCATGCATAGAAGTGACGACAATAAAGTAAAATATCAAATAGGGGATTTTCAGTTGATCCAATATCAAATTCTCCAAATTGACATTGAAATAATTGTATGTCAGACAGTACAGAGAATTACTGATGAGATCTTGGTAGTTCAAATTCGTATTATCTTTACCCTGCAAAAAGAACAACTTCATTGAAAGATAAATGCAAAGTAAGTTGAAATGACTTAACCCTTTAACTCCCATGAGTGACCAAGACAGAATTTCTCCTTACAATATCAATACAATATCAAGCAGACAAGTGATGAGACTGAAGAAAAATATCAGTTACGGGATTATTAGTTGATCTAATACCAAATTCTTCAAGCTAACATCTTAAGAACTATATGACAGACAGTAAAGAGAATTACTAATGAGATCTTGGAAGTGAAAGTGTTAATGCATTTATCTATTGACCTAAGCGACGGAAAATCTGTCTTTAAGTCAGAGTTTTCATTTCAGTGTGAAAACTGAGACAAGAAACATCTGCTGTGAAAGTTAAAAAAAAAAATCCTCAGTAAAACCAGGAGAGAATTTACAATTTAAGGATTGGGTATGCTTTTGATTACCAAGTCCCTTTGTACTTGACAAACGTGATGTTAGACCTTAGGCTCTAAAACCAGTTGTCTCACCTCAATAACAATTGTACATCTGTTTCTTAACAACCTTACTTGACGCAAAACAATTTGCACACAAATTGTCTTTCAACCTGGTACTGAATGCATAGTTTGTGTTGTTTCCCTGGGCATATTAAGTCATTGTCACTCTAGTTCCGGCTAAAAGTATTATTACTCAAAATCAATTAAGAACAAAAAACGTGCAAATGATCTTATTTGCGCGATTTCGTTAAGGCTTAAGTTTACGGGGAAACGAAGCTGGCTCACGGGGCTAGACATCAACTGATTTTTGAAAGAACGTGCTTTTCCTACCCAAAGTAAATGTCTCTAATTCCTCTCCAGAAGGTTGGTATGTCGGCCTTCTTTGCGAACTGACTTGCTCGCCACCTTTTCGAAAATCGTAACAAATAGCTAGCGGCCGTAACAAGCACTTTACAAATCCACTCCGCAAATGTTTGGTGAGCGCGCCGTATATCACTGCGTTTAGGCAACTTTGTAAAATGGCTAAGACATCTGAAAATTTGAAAATTATTTCGGCTATTTCCTTCTCGCTGTTTCCACCAAAATCCAACAAAATCCAAGCGATATGCACCGGTAACATACAAAATGTAAACAACACTACAATTGTTGCTAAGATTTTTATGATTTTTACATTTTCCTCTCTGCTTCCTTGATCCGAAACTTCTCCTCTTCTTGTAATCGAAGCACGCCGAACCTTGGTTCGTGTCAAATCGATACCAATTCGTACGTAAGCGACGGCTATGGTCAGTAATGGCAAGAGATATTGCAAAATGAAAAGAGCTACGGTGTAACCTCGTTTAAAATTTAAACTAGGCCAGTCCTCGTAACATGTGCTGCCCTTCAGATCCTCTTGAAATTTTGAAGTGATTATCAGAGGTATGGCAATCACGAAGGAGACGAGCCATATTGACGAAATCCACAAAAGAACCTGTTTTCCGCTGGGCGGAAGTTCAAAGGGATGAAGGAGAACGTTACAACGGTAACAGGCCATGGAAGTAATGGTCAAAATACTGGAAGAGAACGAAACAGTAACCATGGGCCATACAAACTTACAATAAAACGGAGATGTAACAGAACCGACAAGCTGTACGTAAATCAGTGCTGGCAAACAGAACAGGATGAGACACAGGTCAGATACGCTGAGATTAAGGACAAATATATCATTCATGCGTTTCCTGGTTTTTCGAGTGACGATGATCACCACGACTAGAAGATTCCCCGCAAGACCGATGAAGAACGTTGCGAAGTACAGAACGAGTGTTACACTTGGTTGAGTGATGCTTCCTGTGTTGTTGGTCGATGCGTTGTTCATATTGTGAACAAATTTATGCGTGGGGCGATAAAAAGGTTACTGTAACACAGAAATCTTGGTTACACCGCCGCAAACACAGTCGTCTTTTTTCCCTTCTGTAAGAAACTCCCTCCTTTCGATCGTTCACTAGGGTTCAAGCCCTTATGGACGTTTCATCCTTGCCTCTAAACTCTTTTGCTGAACACAATCAAATCGAATTGATCGATGAATGACAGGTTATAAGTGAAAATCGACATCAATTTTAGCGCGTTTGAATAATAATAATTTGACACTTTCAAATGGCTCCAGAATTTCCAATCACTGAGAACTAGATCAAAGCACAATCCTATCTTCTTTAGTTTCGTAAGTTGAGTTAACATGGCCTTGCGAACGTGATGTTGATGACAACTATAAAAATAGTTCTAATGAGAAAGTAAAATAAATTACTCCTATCGATCATGTTGATTACTATTTACACCCAAGCTTATTCGCAAAAGAAGCCCCCTAATACAAAAAAACCCTAACCAATATTTAGTCAAGGTAGCGCTGTTATTTTATTTCATTTACTGTATGACCAACGCCAAAACGTTTGATGACCAGCTTTCGATGTACATACGGTGATTAGTTTACCGCAGCTCTTCACTGCGGAAAGCAGAAAGCATTGAAAATGCTCTTATCACAAGCTGTTAATTAAAACTTATCCCGACCAGTCGGGTTGCACGTTAGAATATTGTAATGTAGAGTTTTTTTTTTTAATGCTATTCATATTGATAAAAATTAACATTTTCTTTGCCAGGTGAAATCAGCAATATTGATTTCATTTTCTTCGGAAACCCTTTCTGAAGCGCGCAGGCAAATTTAATATAATGGAACAAAAACAAAGATTAACGATGTATTTATTAAATGTACAGTCTGACCGAAGAAAGATGCTTCCGCTTAAAGAACTGACAGTCAATAAATGAATAAAAGCGTATCTATTGACTTTAAACCCATTCACTTCTTCAGAAAAATAAAGAAATCATCGGGGCACACAATACACTTTAAGGTTACAGGTCTTAGCCGGAGATAATACGGTAACTATATGATTTAACAAGCCTTCCATATCTGGAGGCCTTTTCGGCTTTGTCGGATAAAACTTGGCGCAGGCTAATCACTGTTTCGGCAATTAAATAGAACGCTCATGGACTGTTTGTTGATAACCTTGTTAAGTTAAATTACAATTCCTTAATGTCCTTCCTTTCGAGTTTTAATATGGCCATCATCTTGGCAATATTTCGTCTCAAGTGAAATTTGTTTTGACATGTTTAAGCATATGTTTTGCAGTTGCTCTTAGGGCTGGTTTCTTGAACGCCAAACGTCTCTCAGTCGCATTTTTGAGAGAACTAATCTCAGATCACGAGACCAAACATTGACGTGATCGGCTCAGCGTCCTGCTCTAATGTCCAAACGCGACAATGAAAGCAAGTTTAATCAGAAAGTGATTAAGGAGATTAAAGATTAATAACATCTAAATTACCATTTGCACTTCATTGCGTTCTTTGTGAAAGAAAATGATTCTTTTGCGAGACATGTTTAAGACCTTTCTTCGCAGCAATTAAGGCAGCTTATCTCATAAAACAGGCACTCCTTCGAAATTATTCCATCGGAAGTGTTTTGAGCAGCAATGAATTTCTAACAAATGCCTTGTGGGTTGATACACGTAAGAATTCCGGGCATTTAGGATGGAGTTTCAGAAACGATTAATCCCCAGCACCGGCCTCTTTGAAAGGCAATTAAAAAATATTTAGATTATCATGATCGAATAAACAGGCAACCCAATGTTATATTTAGTCGCATGGGAAAACTCTAAAGGAAATAGAAATCTTGTAATCGTTAACTGACTTTTGAAATCTTGGTTATTTTTAAACGGTGATAGGGAAATTGCATTGTCTTTTCATTTGCCATCTTTATGATGCAGCATCCAATTGAAGTCAGTCTGAGGGGAAATAACTCATTATTCAGCAAGTTTCTGATTTACCACAGCCGTTTTGTTGTTTTGAAAGTCTGCCATTTTCGTTCTGCGACACAAATGTGCAGAACATCTCCTCATAATCTGTTTGTGATTGTCTTCATATCGATCAATTTTTGCGTTCATGTGATAGTATTTCATGTAGTACCAACTTGGTGCCAACGCGAGGGACTAAAATAGCTTCTGACATCGCTTACTTTTATTTTAACCTTACTAAGAAAAGATATAAGAGAAAACTAAAACAATATCTCGTATTCTCGACCAATTCTTACATTTCCCCTTTTATTGCAATTGCACCGTAAACGACGGAAATGCAGGAAGAAGGATTTCAAGAATACCGTTTGATTTAATTACGATGGACATCAGGAGAATTTACTATTCCTGTCTATAAAGTTTAGTATAGCGGACTCTTGGGGCTGAATAAATATACAATAACCGAATCGTCTTTAGATTCCCCTTGTATTTTCGTAAGGGAAGAGCCCGAGAATTGGTCTTCAAATACACATGTGCAAATATGGAGACGGCCGGGTTTCATCCCTCTCAAAGTGAATCTAACCAAGGCTTACGGCAATACGTGTGGCAACTTTTTCTTGAAGGGAAGAGCATATGGGGTCAGTATTATGTTCACGAGACTAGACACGGGATTCCAGAGGCTTTATTTGCATAAGATTAGGTTCCAGTACATTATCGTCCCTTAAGGTTCCCCAAATCGCCTGGAAATCGTGCTCTGTGGGTTCCCAGTGTTCCTTGTGCGCATTTCAGCAAACCCTAATACTGTAGAGGGGGAAACTAGATCATCTCAGAAAACAGAAAATCCGCTAGAATGTACAGGAAAATTTGGGTAAAAATCGCTTAAAACCCAAAAACCGCAGGTAACGATGACCCAGACTGTCAAATAGGAAAACCATAGATATTAAGTGCAACAACCGGAAAACTCAGTGTCTCATTCATAAAGCTTCATTACATTTTTGGAACCTGAAGAGCAGAATTGTTACACCTGACCTGATACTATCACTTGTGGATTAACGTCGTTCCTTACTGAAAATTTTCTTGTTATAAGTGCTTCCCAACTCTCCGACAGGAATATCATCGATTCTTGAACGTTTCACCAACTCGTTGTTTTGTTCTTGATTGAACAACTCGTTAGCAATAGTATCGTTGGATATGTCTTTAAAAACGACCAATCATGTATAAATGTTACGAAAACAAGGAAAATTCCACAACACGGAGAGTTTTTTTTCCGAGCTTGTCAAATGAGGCTTAACTTCATTGATTGGGCATGTGACAGAAAATAATTGAGAACTACGCTTCTAGGCTTGGCTAAATCTATATGTAAGCTACATTGCCAAAAGGAAGACTAAAACTAATTTGCCCTCTGCTCGGCTGTGTTATAGTATATGTTGCGATTTAACAGGTTAATCTATGAACTCATTCTAACATTAGTCATTGCTTAGCAAGAGAGAGAGCATAACTGAAATAAATCAGTTTTAAACTGATTTGACTCTTGTTTGTGCAAGCATTTACCCTCGTGTTTAAATATGGAGACTTGAAAAGTTTCTTTGTGACACTCTAGTGAATCATCTTGACTGAAGAGGGTTGTCTTTGATTAGACATTATGAAGCGCGAAAAAAATTAAGTCAGCCCGAAATGCGTACCTGTTTTCGTCATCCTCTTTCTGCTCTTTACGCATTTTTACTTGCATTTATCATGAAGGAGTAATCCACAACTTCTGACCCATCACAGTTCTTGCGAATCAATCTTTTAAAAACTGTCAGCAAACAAATACATTAAACAAACCAAACCTGATGTCGGACCACTGTATCGCAACTGTCAGCCAATGCAATCGCTCCAAACAAAATAAATTAAACCTGGACTGAATGAATTAAATATAAGTTAAGTAGCACCGGATTCTTCAGACAATAGTGAAAAAAGTTTCGACGGTGTAAACATCCCTCAGCACTTTTTGCAGCGCAAACTGACGTGTTTTGGTTAGCGAACGTAAGGATGGCTACGAAGAGAATTTCAGTTTTGCTGTCTTCCTTGTTAGGAGTGGTGCTGGTTTCCATCGTATCTTTGAGTGAAGCAAGTAAGGCAAATTACTTCAAGCCGTTTTTCTTTTTTTAGGACGAATAGTTAAGCAACATATGGGAAAGTTTTAATGAATGTGTGGTTCTTTATCGGCTTTGCTTTAATATGCATCTTAATACCTGTTTTTTTCATTCTGTGTGTTGTTTTAAATGTATTCTTGTTCACGGTATTATATTTCAACAGATGTACTTTTAACTAAAATTCTCACCACCCATGAAATATATTCAATATAAACATTGGTTTGCTTAAACATGTACCTATACAACGGCGCCAAGCACACGATCCAAGATCAGTTAGTTTTCTTGAAAGCCAAAGAGAAACTTTTGGGTTCCTCAGACAGTTTCTTTATAGTTTGGCTAAAAGCATACTAACTCGTGAACCTGATCCATTGGGGGTAAGGTTAAAGTGATGTAAGATCTAGAAACCGGTGGTAAAATAAATAAGCCATATAAATTGGTTTGCTAAAAGTTCTTAAACGTTATAGTGCAGCTATTTAATCTGAGATGACACGCCAAAAATTTCTAATAGGCCGTGAGAAAGTAATGGATAACACGTAGAATGTTTTTACTTGAATCATCATCGCGGGTACATAAAAAAGCGCGCGTACTCTTGGCGCTAGGAGCGGCTCAGTTGCCTGTGACATGCAAAATTTCTTGCCAAGCACAACCACGTATTGTTTAAGTTAGACAAACCGTACAATAGCTTACAAAGAAGAGCTATATTAATTTCTTTTAACATCAAACAAACTGTAGTTCGTTTACAGAGCACACAAAAGCATATGACAGAAGTTTGCTAAATATTAAGTTTCAGCTGTGGCATGAATTATGATGTGTAGATCAAACGCCAAACGGCTAAGAAAACTGAACTGATAGGTTCTTTAGAAAGATCGCTTAATTTAGCCATTTTCATAGACCCTTGTAAGGCAACATCCTGTGGAATCATTGTGCAATAAATTATCTACGTGTAGAAATTGTTTTTTGTAATGAACTACAGAGTGAATTTCGAGATTTAACAAATGTTTTTTATAAAAAAGAATCGGTGACTTGTTAAGATTCCCACGCTAATATTCCATGTTCAATTTGTTCCATAACCTAGGTGGTGACCGTTGTCTTTTTACGCATAAAGATCTTCCTTGCAATGGTGAGTGCAATGTGAAGGAGAGAGGGAAGGGTGGGAGGGGAAATGTAGATACATGGCTTTACATCCCTTTATGGAATAGGGTTGGGATTTCCTTGTAATTTAGGACTGACGAGAAAAATGAATTTACCTCTTATCAGAGGATAAAGAATGCTTTAATGAGACTAAAAAAGGCGTTTAGTTGTCACCGACCTCATTCACTCGTTGACATCATACGAATCTCACTTATATGAGTCATACCAAGAATAAACATCCTCTTAACTCTTCAACTCCCATTAGTGACCAAGACAGAATTTCTCCTTACAACATCAACCAATATTAAGCAGATAAGTGATGAGAATGAAGAGAAATATCAATTATGAGCGGAGTACGCTCTATTAGTTGATCCAATACCAAATTCTCCGATCAAGCATCATAAAAATTGTATGGCAGACAGTTAGGAGAATTACTGCTGAGATCTTGGGAGTGAAAGGGTTAACAGAGATCCGCAGAATCACTCTTGACAGGAGCCCATTGCTTCTGCTCTCGAACAACTGTTTTTTTTTTCGTGTCAGTGACACAGTCCTATCTACCCACCTGCCTCAGTTTTGGCAACATAGTTCTGAAAATGCAAATTCATTCTCAGCTTTGAAACCGTGCACAAATACCCTTAGGCGGTTTAGTTTTCACGATTTTCGAGTGAGGACATTCGTGCACAACTGGCCCATGAAACTTTTGCAAATGTAAAGTTTATACATACATACATACATGTTTAGAGACAAAAAAAAAATTTTTAACAAGTTTTCCGAGTCACGATAAAAGTCAGCAAATAATCCGCGAACCGAAAAATTCTCAATTAATTTCATTCCGTTTGTCATTTCCAGTAACAGGAAAAATCCCTCTTCAACTGACTTGCAGCAATCCCGGGAAATGGTTTACCATAAAAAGGGTTACCAGGAAGACCGATCAAGGAATTTGGCAGCAAGTTCCTAAAGCTAAAGGCGTCTTTGAAAAAGATTGCAAGAAAAGTCGAACTGTTCAGAAGGGTGCCAACGGTCTGGAGTCTGCCATTTGTACTATCAGCGGCTGTATTCCCGGGATTGATTTATCGGAGGGGGTCAAAATAGAATATTACTGTTGGGAAGTCGGTAAGATTTAGATCCATAGTTTACAGAAGTTCGAATCGTGGTTTTTTCAAGGACCAAATCATGACTATAATGGCTAAATTTTCGAGATTTCCTGCCAGATTTGTTTCTGAGCAAGCTTTGATCCTACATCAATTTGTTGCAATTTGCCCTTAGGCTTAACATTGGGAAGAAGTTACCAAGCTGACGTATCATCACGGATTCACAATATCAACCTCGTTCTTAGGGTCCTCTCTCTTTGTTTCTCGAGGGAACGAGGTTGTAGTAAGCTGTGATTAAAGGATTCTGATCAAAACGCACATTACTATGCTGTATTTTTTACTGCAGATAGCAAACTTGAAAATTTTAAGCTTAAGATTTCAAGATGACTAAACAGGGACACCGCTGTTGTGTAATATTTCTGTAACCACATTTTAAGTTCCCATAGTCGTTTGTCTGCATCAAACAGCTGCTCTCGAAAGGAATTATTTATCGATTCATTTATTTTTTCGTCAGATCCTGATTTACTTGGAGGCTTTGGAAAGAGATCGCACATCCGAAACCCTGAAATATTTCATAGCACAAAGGAGAACTAGAGCTTCGAGACTAGCCACATCATTTAACCTCCATGGATACAATTGTTATAATTTTAAAACTAATCATTCTATTGACCTAAAATACTGTCAAATGTGTAACGTATCGACCGATCACGAATAAATGGCTAACAAGCATTTTGCTGAACGTCGTTTTTAATTGTTAGAAACCACACGAGGAAAATAACTCAGTTCTCAATCCCAGTTCTGTCTCTTTAGACATTGAATAGTTTCCTTGAGTTCATACCCGTTACGTACTAATCGTTACTTTATGTCTAATTCGAAAACAATGTCAAAACAGACGACTCTACTTCAATGGACTTGAAATTCGATTCTCGTCACTTCCACCTCCATCGTCATCATCATTATCTCGCAAAGTTCGTTATCCAGACTTACACAGGCTGACAAAGCTCTTTATCTCAGAAAGCCTGGAGTCTTTTTTACTAATTCTTCTGGCTTGTTCATCAGAAGTTTTTTATTGGAACAGTAACTTAACGATCATATCCCAACGACAAATTCTCATTGTCTATATGAGCCTCAATCAGGTACGCTCTTTGAAACCTCTTTTGGGACTTGAGTTTTTGGGCTTGAGCGATGGCCTCAAATATGGCACCTCTACGTCCTCATCTGACGTTCACGAGCGCGGACCAGCGACTCAAGCGCCCGTGCACGGAATTCAAGTTCCCTCAGTTCTGCCTCTTCATCTACGGTTCCTTCTGCAGGATGTGGTGTATCTTCTGTAGTTTGCTGCTGAGCAGTGCTGTTCCCTGGTGAATAGAAGACTAGAAATTAGCACGTCTGAGCAAAAGTAGGAGTGAAAGAAAAGCTTAGTCCTACGTTTAACTAACATTGACCAGCATCTAATTTTTCAATACTATTGAATTATTCATAAAGAACATGACAATGAAGAAAATGATCACCAACCTAAGAAGCTTTGATTGTTTCATGAATTCTCCTTGTCAGTACCAAAGGAAACGTATAGAGAAGAGCAGAGAGAATATAGATATTGATATTGGGGTGTAGAGGGTTCATAGCTACTCATTTGTATTTTTCTTTAGTAACAAGTCTGAGGAATTAAAAGCTATTTTTAGAGTATTGCAAACAATCTCTCTGAGAACTAGGAGGTAAATTACTGCACTTAAATGATTTTTGCAATGCCTTGGAGTAATTTACCTTCCACAAGTTCATCAATTTCCTCTTGGTTGGGAATTGTGATCATTTCTTGGAAAATGATCATATCTTTCTCCTTCTTTTCTTCATCTTTCCCCTCTTTGATTGATTTACTTATTTTGCTCTGAAAAACCAACATAAACAAAGGAGCATTTAGTCAGAATTATATTTGATGTATCTCACTTCCCTTAACCCTCCCACGATCTGATTGTAAATTCTCCCCTCAAGCTTCTACATTCCCTTGTAAATTACACACCAGAGTTTGGTGTTAGATCAAGATAACAAGTTCTACCTGATAAATTTGAGTATTGTCATTACCTGTTTGCTGGACAATGTATGGGTATTATAGGAAGATGTTACATGTTAATCACTAGTATGAGTTAAAGGGTTAAACGTTACTTCATCCTTTCACAGTTTTTATAATTATTTTATTATTCTCATTTGTTGGTTGTTTTGTGATGTAGTTACAGTTGCTAACAGTCTGTCTACATACCGCCACTCTTTTACTGTCCTCATTCATGGTCTGTTTCTTCAACTCTGTTTCATCAACACTTTCTTCCTTTTTTGTACTTTCATCCTCAGAAGAAGCCATATCTTTTCCAGTTATGATAATCTTAAGCTGTGTCTTTGAAAATGATTCAAGTTGCTCTGAACAGAGTTTCTTCACTTCCTTGAAACTCAGCTTCTACAAAAGCAGAAGGAAGTTCAATTGTATTGGATCTGTGCATCATGAGGATTGCCAGGGAGGTGTTCTCATTAGCAATATGTTTTAGTAACTGCAGGCTTCACCCCTTTGCAAATTCACCCCCTACCACCTTACCCTACTACTGGTAAAGGTGATTGTGGACTCAAAAAGGTGGGGGAGGGGGATGCATTTAGCTCCAGAGGGGGAAAAGTCTTGAAACAAAAGTGGTAGTGAGTGCAAAGCAGAGAAACTTCCATTAAACTTTATTTTGTGGCAAATAAATAAATGATCTTAGATTTCTCAGTGAGCTTAAGAATCTTTAATCATATAATTTACTTAACTCTCAACAACTATCAGCTTTACAGTTCACACAACTTCTGAGGAAAATTGATTGAGGAAACTAAATGACTATAGAAAAGATGGATACAAGGCACCTTAGACAATCTGTAATGTCAAAGGAAGCAAACGAGACAGAGAAGTTTGATGAGACAAAAACATAGCTTTATCTGCTTTCTGGCTAGAGAAATGTTACAATAATATTGTGGGAAAGGGTTCCATATCAGCCTGTGCTATTATAAAGTAACACATTAGTTCCAAAGGCAACTTTTTGTTTTCCTAATTTATTTCTCTATCCAAGAACTCTATGAATAATGAAGTGTAGGACTGTGGGGAAATCTTACCCAGCTCTGTCTCATATGCTTGCTTCAACATTATAGATAGTCTTGAGTGCCTCCCATCCATCTGTTTTTATGCCTTTTTACCTCTAAACTAATTCTCCTTAGAAGTTTTTTAAACTGTGAGGCTGAATTAGGGGGTGAGAGTTGAGATTAAACCCTTACACCCTAACACCAGTATGCATAATTTCCATACTGTTCTCCATATATTTCCTATGAGCTGGTTGGTTAGACAATAACATAGCCTTATCTGGTTTAACCCTTTACAACCCAACATCAGTGTGCATATTCTCCATACTGTTCTCTATACATTTCCTAAGGTGCTGGCAAGGAGAATTTGTTTATCAATCAAGAGAATATTTAGTTAGTGATCATTTCCTTTATTCTCACGACCTTACTGTGTGATGCAAGGGTTATACTGTTGAGAGAAATTATATGTTAGTCACTCTCAGGAGTTTAAGGGATAAGAAACGTTTCACTTGTGCGAACCTATACTATACTGTACCAGGTACAGTTATATTGATTCGTGTTCCTTTTTATTCAATACCTTTAAAATTTCCGGCATCATTTCCTTGATTTCTTTCTTAGAAACGATGGTAAACAGCTGATTGTAAAGTTCTTTTCTGTCATCTAGGAACTCTGTAAGATGTTTGATCCTCTCATTGCCGGTCTTGTTATTTTTACTCCTCGTACTGATATCATTATTCTCGATATCCTGGGATGGACTGGAAGATTTTGCCTTCTTGCTTTTCTTCCTGTCACTGTCGAAATAATTCGTAGCTTACGTCACAGAGCTTTCTTGAGGTTTTACAACTATCAGACTGCGATTTCTGACAAATTAAGAATTCAAAGCAATGACTGAAAGATGTTTGTTTACAAAAATATTTATGGTATTTACCGGTGTTTGTGCTTTCGTTTCGCAGACTTCTTACTTTTCTCGGCCAGTTGAGTCGAAGAGTCGGGAGAAACAGCTTTCCTTTCCATCGATTTAATGGAGAAAACAGCCGTCACCTAAATAACTTCGACGCCATTTTCTCTTACAACTCCTGAAGGACATTCGATTACAGCATATTCAACATAATGACCATTCTCCTGTGTAACCGCTCCTCTGAAGATTGCAACAGTCACAATATGGCGGATGAGTGAAGGAAAAAAGATTAAAGCTTCGCTAAATGTTTTAGAATAATGCCCTTATTTTTCTGCTCTTCACTGTTGTCAAGAAACTCAAGGTGTATCTTAAATAATCATGTCCGAATATTTTTCAATAGTAGAAGTCGGTTCGTTTGCGTCCGTCAACAACCTCTACTATTTAAAACGATACCTTCTAAGAGTTTAAGTCAGGTTTGCTGCAGATCTTGGTCTTCTTATGCAGTTAGAAGATTCCATACAAGTCAGTCAAGATCTGCCGCTCCACTTGCAGCTCTTCTTGTCAAACTGGCCGGTCCTCTTTCAAAATTGACCAAACTTGTTGCTGTCGTCGGAGGAAGGTAAACAAACATGCATGTAAAAGATAGTTGTATAATTAACACTTATTACTTAGTATTAATATAGTGAATACTTTATCGATTAATTTAATGATTAACAATGTTTGTTTTGTTTTAAGGTAATAACGTATTTGTCTGTTATTTTTTAGATCTTTTCGTAAGTGGTGGAACAATTTATCAGCTGATAAGCGTTTACAGCTCACAAAATCATTTCATCTTCGGAAGGAAAGACTGACCATAGTCGTCGGTGGTTTTAGTGGATTATGTATTGCATATTACTTTTTCCATCTAGAGGAGACACCATTCACTCACAGGACTCGATTTATGCCAATCTCTCATCGACAAATGGAGGAACTAACAAATACAGAGTACAGGAATACGTTAGAGTTATTTGCAGACAAAATATTACCTGTGACCGATCCCAACCACCTCAGAGTCTTAAGGGTTGCAAAAAGATTGGTGATGGCGAATGGTAGTAAGGAGATGGAACATTTGTCCTGGCAAGTCAATGTGGTGAATTGTGATGATATGAATGCATTTGTGTTGCCTGTAAGTCTTCCAAGGCTTTCCTCTTTTTTCTTTAACTATTAAGCCTTTTACCCTCTGGAGTGACTAGCATCTAATTTCCCCTCTCAATTTCACCTTTGAATCACCCATTAAGGTCATGAGAATAATGAAAATGATCACCAACAAAGCTCTTGACTGTTAAACAAACTCTCCTTGACAGCACCTTAAGAAATGTACCAAGAACAGTATGGAGAATATACTGGTACATACTCACTGATGTTAAGGTGTAAAGGGTTCATGCAATAAACAGTGCAATGACCACAAACCCAATAAAGAGATGAAAGACATGAAGTAAATGCTGTACTTAAGTGAGTAACCTAAATTTTCTACTTTACAGAATGGTCAGATTTTCATGTTCACTGGAATGTTGAATAAGTTACCAAATGATGACTCACTGGCCACCATTCTTGGTCATGAGATGTCCCATGCTATTTTACAACATGGGGTAAATATTTTGACCTTTTCACTCCTAATGTGTAAATATTAATTCTCCATACTATCTGCCATGCTTTTCTTGTAATTTTAGCTGTGAGAATTCAGTGTTAAATGAAACTATATGCAATAGTTTTAAAAAAATTCATCTTTGACCTTTCTCCTTGAAATGTTGTCAAATTGTAAGGAGAAATTACATTTGGGTCACTCCAAAAAAAGTTAAGGTTAATCAGGATTAGTTGGTAATGTGAGTTTTTCTAGGGGTAGGATGATGACAAAGAGAAAGATAAGGAGAGATTGCTCTTCTTTATCCATCCCACAATTGCAAGGGAATTAGTTCACTACCTCTCTTTAATAGTTGTTTGTAGAAATGATAATGTAACACATCACCCAAAACTTTTATCCTGATGGGAGATTTATGTAAAGCCTTGTATTGTTGCTGTATTATAAGTGCAGTGTCAAGAGATGTTCCTATGGAGCAAAGTTAATTCTAACATGAAAGCCTTTAACAGTTGAATTTAAACTGTAATGATAATCTTTGATGAGAATGTTGTGAAGAAGGTTGAAACCTTTTTTTTTCATTGTACATATTTTGTTTGTTTTGTTTTGTTTTTTTTTTCTTTGCAGGCAGAGCAAGTCAGCCTATGTGGGTTCATTAACATGTTTATTGTCATAGTTCTTGCATTACTCTGGGCCCTCCTGCCAACAGAAACAGCTATCTTTGCTCATTGGTTTCAAAACAGAATACTTAGTGTAAGTGCAAATTTATAACAAAATTATTATGTTCTGGTCACGCATAACTATAGTGTTAGTTACCAGTGGTAATGTTGCCTTAATTAAGAGTGAATACATAGCAGATTAGTTGGCAGAAAAGTTTGGCAAGCATTCAGTATTCTATTTGGAGAGAGGTTTTCAACTTTTTGAAATATTCCTCAGATTTTTCTTCACCTTCCTTATTCAAGAAGATTAGAAGAAGAGGCAGATGAGGTTGGAATGAAAATGGCAGCCAAGGTAAAAGTTTGAATCTGTCACAGTTTATTTAGAACTAAGCAATTTGATTGCAGGTTGTAGCTGTCAATGAGCAAGATCATGGCACTATGCAATAATTGTGCAATGATTTGCACTAAAAAAATTAATATAATCAAATATGACTCCTTTGCTTCATTTGCTATTGGACATCATTGTCAACCTTTAAACCCAGTTACCCTGTCACACAGCCTGTTGACCACTCAGTGGTAATCTGGAGCACTGAGCTAAAGGTAATTCATTATAGGTTCACACCTGTGAGTAACATAAGGAAATTAATTTCCCCTTACATCATCTTTCAGGTCCTAATTTATTTTCTCCATTCCCAGGCGTGCTTTGATGTTCGTGAAAGTCCCAGGTTTTGGCGACGATTGGCAATTACTCAGAAAGAAATGGATAAACCAGAGTTAATAAAGTGGCTCTCCACTCATCCAACCCATAGTGACAGGGCAGACAATCTAGAAGCTTTACTTCCACAGGTAAAAAAAGCTATGAAAATTGTTTGGTGTAAGATATCCAACAGGTATAAAGAAATAACTTGTTGTTGTGAATGTGTTGATGGGGTGCTCCTATAAAAGCTTTTACTGGTAAAGTGTAACCATTAACAGCTTTGAACTTACTGTGGGATGGGGTCAATATTAACGTACTGGTAAATTTTGTCTTATTATAGGCATTAAAGATAAGAAGGAATTGTAACTGCCCTCTCCTGCCAGGTAGTGTATTGCTTGTCCTTGCATGGAAAAGTTGCTTGCCCTTGTGTAGACATACCCATCAGTTAATTGAGATGTCAATAATGATAAGTAATGTTTAATGTTTGTTAAAGATTCTTGATAATTTATGTTTTAAAATAATCATTCTTTTATTTTTAAAAGCCTTTTTATGTTGATTTATTTTGTAAATTCTTGTCTGCAGGGGAAGTATCCTTTATAACTCCAGAAGATAAAAATGACCATGGATTTTTACAACAGCATTCTCTTCTTAGGAGGCCATCTCCATTGACTGAAAGGAATAAGTTCATTACTAAGTAAACCCACTACCAACTGTAAATTTTGGAATTTTGGAACCAATCTAAACCACCCATGTATCTGACCAACCATTAAAAAAGATCCAATGAATTTATGGTACTGTCATACATTTGATCATCACCTTGATTGTAAACAGCCTGTGAACAGGTTCTTTACCATGAACAGGGTATGTAAGAGAAGAGTACAGCAATCAATTTTTGGTGTAAAGGCCCCTTAATCCTTTGAGACCTATGAAAGACTATCGTCTAATTTTTCTGTACAGTACCACCCCCAAATCACACTTTTAAGGTCAAGAGAATAGAGAAAATGATCACCAATTAAAGCAGCTCTTGATCGTTAAACAAATTCTCCTTGTCACCTTAGGAAATATATAGGGAACAGTATGGAGAATATGCATACTGATGTTAGGGTGTAAAGGGTCAATCAGAGTCTCCTCTTTGACAATATATTTCTTTGCCTCTAGTTCCCTAGAATCTATGATAAAATCTTTACTAGCCAGTTTGAAAGCGTCAGACAAAGTTTTTTTAATTGCGTGCTTATTTTAGAAACACGGCAGACAAAATTTCAGTTGCATTTTTTTTTCCATGAATGAATAGTAGCAAGTATGCTTAATATTGAAGTCCATATTATCATATGAAAAATCACTTTTTGAAACTACAAATTAAACTAAATTAAACAGTTTTGTGAACTGAAACCTCAGTTAACAGTCTACAACAGTAATTACAACCTCTAAGTATCTGAATACATTTTGAGTTCTTGGTGTTTAATAGTGTATTTGTGTATACATGCATCACTAATTTTTCAAGAGAGGTGAAAGAAAGTAAAGGTGGCTCCAAAACATTGATTGAGCACTGAGCATTGACTTTCAAAATTTTCTGCATTAAGTGTTGATTAAATTTTATAGCTATGTGTAAATCTTAACCTTTCACCTCTTGTCAATTTACATGGTACAATAATCATTAAAATAGAATGCTACATGAATTCATAACTCGTTAAGTTTGTGTGTCTGTTTTGCTGCACTAATCTTTCTTAGGCAAATGTGCCCCTGCAACCACAATGCCGTCTTTTGTTGTCATAAATGAGAATAAAGTGCGGTACTGCTAAAAAGTAAGTTGACAGTCCCTCAAAACTTGAGCCTCAATACTCAATTCTCAAACCTCAATTCTGAAAAACTTCCAAGATCAAATCCAGTTTTTGAGACATTTGATCTGAGTTTTTGAGATGTTCAAAATGAGGATACATTGTAATTTTTGTACTTAGTGCAAAAAAAATGAAAACAGATATTGGCAGTTTTAATCTGGAATTCTGTGTGTGTCACCATGTTGAATGTACAAGGTATAATAGTTGTCATCATTATCTGCATGTTCTTTCCTGGGACTTGTCTGCCAAAAAGAGCTCCTGTCTGATGATAACAGGGACAACCACATACCCTCATACAAGCCAAAATGGTGGCTTCTGGGAAATTCAAGCATTAACAATACTTTTTTTTTTATCACAGTTTTTATACAATTTAGTTCTTTTCTCTCATTTTTCAAATGCTAACCCTTTAGAAATGTCCAGTTACATTCATTGCTACAGAAATGAATATTCTGTGAAACAATGCATTCCTAACTGTAACATGCAGTTGATTAAAAATAGTCTCTACATGTTTGTGACTAGTGATGGTTAACACTACAGGAAGCCTCTTGATGTACCTACACAATATAATAAAACTATACTTCTATGTACTCTGGACAGTTTTTCATCAAAAGTCCAAATGAACTTGTATTCTTCATTAACCAAGGCTTGTAAGCACATTTTGAACTTCCTCAAATACCTGTCATGGAGAAATTGTTGTTAAACAAATATGGAACACACATATATGACTTCCCTTACCAATGTTCCAGATTTCTGTTAAATTAGCAGTCTAGCTGTTTAGTTATTGCTGGAAGATTGATTAATAATTTAAGATATCCAAGTGGTTATTTTGTATGAAATATTCCTTAATCAGTGTTTTCTTATTCACGTAATGACTGATAAAATTTACTGCCTGTAGCATAGCTTACTACCAGCAAAAATGGCTTTGAATTCTTGAACATTCAAACGGTAAAACATTTACTGTAACAGCTATAAAATTTAGTTTCCCTGTTGTTCTTGAATTGAGGGAGAATGCTGCTTGATTCAAAATTTTGGCTACTTGAGAAAAAAAAAAGTTGTGCAATATTTTGCAATATTTGTAGAAAACAACAGATTAATCTTAATTACAACTAACAGGTGCCATGGAAGGCTCATCAATTGACGATTATTGTTAAAACTAGATATGTTTACCTCACTGGGTGACTTAATTGCTTGGATCTTTTTGACAAGTCCTAGTTTTTCATAATGTTCTATTATTGGCATTGTCTGTGTTTCATGTGTGTTGAATCTACAAAGCAGAAGAAAAATTCAACTGAAGTGATTAATATGTAACATCTCCATATAATATCCATACATCATTCAGCAAACAGATAATGAGAATACTCAAACCTATCAGGTACAAGTTGTAATCTTAATCCAACATTAAAATATTGTAGCTTATTGACAAGGAAATGTGACTGTCACATTAAATCGTGGCATAAAATAAACAATATATTTTAAAAAATAAACATGTTTCATCACCCAGAGAACCATTCAGTTCACTTGTTAATGGTTTACCTTTAATTCATATTTACCTCTTTCTAAGACTCTCTATATTGTCATCTGCTCGTCCGCTGGATTTACCCCTCTCCAATATTCTTCTGATGCATTCCTAGCCAAAAAGAGAAAAGATCTGGAGTGATTATACCATACTCCATATTTTTCAGTTACCTCCAAATTTTCATTGATTTTTTTTCAAAATAGTAAAAGAACTAAAAGAAGAGTTCAGTTCTGTAATTATACAGGGCCCAGTTGTATAAAGGGGGGATAACATTATCCAAGAGATAAATTGCTGTCTAGCAGATAAGTGATAGCAAAACTATCCACTGGACAGAGATTTATCCAGTGGATAGCATTATTCAACCTTCCAACAACCAGGGTCAGGTAATCAACAAAATTGGATAGATATCAAGCATAGGTTTGACTTGTATATAGTTAGCATGATAAGAATTGAAAACAATTTACATTTGAAAAGCAGCAAGGTTTATATTTTAATAAGGTCACCCTTAGCCTTACTCCTGTTAAAAGGCTCAGCAACCAAGCATGCAACTGTAAAGTGGACTATTGCAAAAACTGTGGTCCACCCGCACGGACCATTTCTTTGCTTGTTAGAATTTTTCAGTTATAGTTTTGATTGGTTCAGGTACTTACATCTTCTGAACATTCAAAGACTAAGACACATTTGACATCAGCTTTTCCTTCCATTACTCTGTTCCAGCCTTGAAGGTTATCCTCATTTCTAGGAAATCCATCTATAAGGAATTTTTTCTCACCACTTTTATTCATTGCCTGGAAAAATAGGTAAACACCAAAACCCATGATTTTATCCCATAACTTTTAATTTACCATCAAAGTTTGAGTTACAGGCTGCATTTGACAGTAGTTGCCGCCTTTGCTATGGAGCTGCATGTAATCCAGGGTCTAGATTTTGTTTGCAAGGTTATAAATGTCACAGTTAATTTATTAGGTTGCCATCAAGCAAATTCCCAAATTTGTTGGCAGCAGGCCCTTTTGTAATGTAGCATGATGTAAATGGGGAAGATTTCCGTATTACCCCATACTATTATAAAACAAAGTTTCTGGATCCTAAAGGTAATCTAATGTTTTCACCATTAAAGTTTTCTTTTATTAACAAAAGGCAGACATAATGCATGGGCTATACAGAAATGTTGCCATGGCTGCATTAAAGTTTCTTCATTTCCTCAAAAGTTTTGGTATTTTACTGCTGGGGGTTACACTTAGCTTAATCCTTTAACCCCTAAGAGTGACTAGCATCTAATTTCTCCTTACAATATCACCCCTGAATCATGCAGTAAGGTCATGAGAATAAAGGAAATTATCAGCAGCCAAAGAAGTTGTTGATTGTTAAACAAATTCTCCTTGTCAGCACCTTAAATGAATGTATGGAGAACAGTATGGAGAATAACTTTACTGATGTTAGGGTGTAAAAGGTTAAGATTTACAATGGGATAAGAATAATAATGGGATTTAACGGTGAATGTTCCACTAGGTAGCTCTTCTTGTCCATTGTTTCCAGGTCAAATTGGCATTTGCAATGTTGGTTTTTGAGGAAGGAAGAATACCAAAGGACCCAGAGAAAAGCCCTCAGAGCAAGATCCATTAATTGAACCCAGGCCACAGTGGTGGAGGGCAAGCACCCTCACCACTGCACTATCCCCACTCCCCTATATACTCACCTTTTCAATCAAACTTATGGTAATTTCTACAGGGACAATCTTTCCTTCTTTAATACAAGAATCTATAAGATCCCCATTCTCTGAGCCACTGTTTCTTTCCTCCCTTAACAAGTCACCTGCTGATAAATGAATGTATCCAAATTTCTGGAAAATAAATAATACACAAAATGAATTTTTTCCTAAACAGTGTTCTGATCTTAGGTCAGTGACTGAGAAATGAAACAAGAAAAGCAGTTCAATGAGAAAAAACGTTGGTTAGGTATGGTTAGTCCAATTTTAGTAACAGATTGAAGTCTTCTCCTTTTGGACAGCTTTGTAGCAAAGCAGGTATATGTAGGAGGATATGTGAGGAGAAGAATTTTTACAACAAAGGAAAACACCAGATGAGAAAAGTATTATAAGTTCTAAAAATTAACCTGTGAAAAAAAATCCACCTAAGAACTGAAAACCTGTTTACTTATCAAAAACACTTATCAATAGAATAATTTGAACTAACATTCCAGTAATCTTATATTTAAAACAATTCTTAATTACAGTTTCACATTGATGTGAAGTTGTCCGAAAATCAAAGAAGCTGAGGGTGAAATTTCCGCACAGCCCCATACTAAATTATGCATTCAGTTCTTGACTAGAGAAAACAATGAAAAAAACAATACATTTCCATTGGGAAAACAGATTTGTTTTGACGATAGTATGGGGCTGTGCGGAAACTTTACCGAAGCTGAGTAACATTCCTTTAAACTTTTCACCGATTTAAAATGTTTTTGACTCATTTTAAATCAATACTTTTAGCCAGCCGCAAATTATAATTCAGCTGATGATTACTTGCGAAGTAACCTAGCCGTGTTTTGATTTAGTCACGAAAAAAAAAACAAAAAAAAGATAAATATAATTCGATGCGTCTTTTCTAAAAACGATTCTCTAGATATACAATGCATTACATATAATTATAACAAATACAAATCCCAAATTAATATTAGTTTACATGCCACGTTTACACGATCGACTTAGGAATTCCAAAGCACATGAAATTTACGTGGAAATATACCTCAACGATTTTTGAGCACTGCGTTCCTTTTCCAGCGCCTGGACCTCCAAGAACAAAAATAACAATAGGCTTGAGCGATGAACTCATCGTTCTTTGGAATGAAGAGGTTAGCCTCCCAGCAAAACAGGATAGATGAAACATTAAAAGTAATCCTTTCCGTCACTAAGACTAGTGGAAGATTATATTTTAATTTCGATTGGTCTAAACCGCTGCTTAGTATGCTCATATAACAGTTTTGGAAAAAAGCTACTTAGTGGGGACATGTAAAATTTACTTGTGGAAGAAAATGAAATCTATTACCCCAATGAACTAGGTTTATCAAAAGCTTAAATTTCCAGATATGACTTATCTTTTTGAGTTGTATAGTCGTTATATAATTTACTGTTTTAAAGTAAGAGTGAAGAGTCTGAGCTAAAAGTATGATCTCCACTACCTCCACTCCTAAATACTATTTTTGTCAAGATCGAAGTCGAGGCCAGAACAACAACATGGCGGCCGGGCATCTTTTCCCAGCGTGGTAAACAAACCTTTACCACAATATTATAATATTTCATGAAATGTACTTTCCAATCGGTTGGCCAAAGTACTTCAGCTCAAGGGATGTCCACTGCGGCGAGCTAAAATCATTAAGATACAACAGGGATCGTTCGCTATTGGCCGTGATTTCAGATCACAGTGTGTGTATTTGGAACAACCGAGTGAGTATTAAATTCCCATTTTGTCGTCTGTCTACTAGGTATCATCTCTGTGAATATCATCTTACCGTTAGGGCCCTAGCTGATAAACAAAGTTATATTGATAAAGATTCATGACAGTTTCTTTCGTGGCAAGGTTTCGTGTCGAACCGGCTACTACCTAGTCTACCCCTGGCCAGCAATATTGTATTTTTTTTCTAGTAAGCTCAACCATTATGTTCAGATCTGTGAGGTTAGTTTCAATCCTCGCTTACCCGTTCGATTCAGGAACAGAGTAGCTGAGTCTTTTTTTACATTTAAAAATATAGCTGCAATGTACACAAAAGCTATTCCATTGCAAACAGTTTCCTATGGAAACTTCTTTGAATAAGCTGACAGCTCGCGAACACTGCATGGGCATCCGTTGTTTATTTGTAATCCAATTGAGCTAGGGTATGCGTGAGTAAGCCTCGGTAAGCCTAGGTAATCCTGCCCACATGCAGGACTCATCCATAGTGACTGGAAGGGTCTTGAAAGACCAAACAATATCATTCTGAATTTATGTTTATTCTTAATTGTTCCCGTATACTCTCATAAATTATGTCTCTGTGCAAGATAATATGTCTTTTTAACTCAAAATGAATGTTTTACAAGTCTTCTCTTCTGCACCATATTGTTTTCATTTAAGCCAAGAGTACTGGTAGTTGCTTATCGGCGATCATACGATGCTATTAAAGATCATGGAAGAAATGTTACAGTTGCCTGGAAACCAGACTCTACTGGATTGGCTGTCAGTGTGAGTACATCTGATTGCTAAATCAGTATCACTAGCAATAGCTTTGGATTGGTCATTATTGTAAATTTTCTTCAGTATGTAAGATCAAGGAACAGTAAAATGAAGTGGAAAGGTTTTGCTAAAAGTCTTTTTCCCTCTAGAAATTCTCTTCACTCAGTGATATCCTTACATGCATGTCTTGCTTCATTGTCCAAGTACATGAAGATTTAGTCCTAAAAAGAAAAATTGAAGATATTGTTGCTTATCCCTTTGACACTAAACTTAGTTTGCAGTTACGTTTCCTTCTTCTTTCCTTAATGATTCTTTAGTTGAAGTTCTATTTATAACATAAAAGTACATATTTTCATGCTTATTAAAGATTTTGTTTCATTTTATTTTAAATACAGACATCAGAGGGAAAGATAGTGTTCCTAGAATTACAAAGAAGCAATGGGGTACAACTTTATGTTTCAAGATTCTCAAGGTGAATGGCATTCTAGTTCTACATCAAATGCAAGAAAAATATTTTAGAATGGTCAAACAGTCACTCATTAACCCTTTCACTCTCAAGATCTCATTATTAACCCTTTCACTCCCACAAGTGACCAAGAGAGAATTTCTCCTTACAATATCAATACAATATCAAGCAGGCAGGCAATGAGAATAGAGAACAATATCAATCATGGGATTATTAGTTGATCCAATACCAAATTCTCAGAACTAACATCATAAGAATTGTATGGCAGATAGTAAGGAGAATTACTAATCAGATCTTGGGAGTGAAAGGGTTAATTCTCCTTACAGTCTACCATACAATTCTTATGAAGTTGGTTTTTATAATTTGGCATCAAATCAAATAATCATCCCCTAATTTATATTTGCTCTATTTTCATTATTTGTCTGCTTGGTATTATATTCATTTGATGTTTTAAGGAGAAATTCTCTCTTGGTCTCTTATGGGAGTTAAAGAGTTAAGTGACTTAACCTTTTAACTTTCAGATCAAATTTGTCATTCTCCTTACTGTCAACCAAACAATTCTTTTGATGTTACTTCAGAGAATTTAGTATTGGATCAACTAATTATCCCCAAATTGATATTTTTCTTTATTCTCATCACTTATCTGGTTGATATTGTATTGGTGTTGTAAGGAGAAATTCTGTCTTGGTCACTCATGGGAGTTAAAGGGTTAAGACTCATATTCTATAAGTTCAAAGTTTCATTGAATTCCTCTCTGCAGAATTACTTTTTTTGTAATGTGTATTTTTTTTTCATTTCATATCATTATGAAGAAATGTAAAATGGTTTCTGTGTTTACATAGCCTGATATAAACACACAAGAGGTTGGGAGAACACGAGATAAGCGTAGGAAACCACGTTGTGAAGCAGAGTGGTTTCCAGCTTATCGAGTGTTCTCCCAACCTCCCAAGTGTTTACATCAGGCTATGTAAACACGGAAACCATTTTACATTTCTTTTATAAAATAACCAATGAAAGAGGAACGAAAAACCGTGTTTATATACACTCATGTAAAATGGTTTTATGGTCAATCAGAGTGCGCGTACTATTTGAATTATTTTATAAATCCTTGTTGAAGATCTTTTTTCTATCAGTCACTCTCGTAGGCATTCATCTCCTAATTCTCAAGCTGGAGTACCAGCTTTGAAACTTGTAGAAATTGCCATTGTCCCAATCTCAGGAGGTGTCACAAGGTACTGTATGTGAATTTTACAGCAATATATAATTGTATGTATTAAATTTCAGACAACAAAAAAACCATGCTGTATAAGTGTTCAGTCATATTTAGTTATTTATGATATTTAGACAAGCTGGCCCAGTTTAGCTTTAACCTCGTAACACCCAAGATCTGATTGTCAATTCTCCTCTTGGGCTGCTTTACATTTTGTTGTCAGTTTGTTACAAGAATTTGGTTTTAGATCAAGGTTACAACTTCTACCTGATAAGCTTGAGTGTTCTCATTACCTGTTTGCTGGATAATTAATGGTATTATAGGGAGAAGTTACACGTTAATCACCTCTGGGAATCAAAGGGTTGAAGCTGGTTTTAGAGGGAGCCTATTATGTTCCCTACTCCTTGTGAGAAGTGCATAGGTTCTCTAACATCCCCTGCTAACTAGTACAGAGAACATGGAGGAGATGGGGCCTCACATTCTGAGGCAGCACATTCTCTTCAGTTATTTTCATTAAAATCCTGAGTATTGGTCCAGTCTGGGGCTTGAACCCTTATTCTCCCAAATGGTAATCTGGCACTCTAACCAAGCAAAAATGTTTTTAGAAGTTTTTATTAGAGATTTTTACAGACAGATTTTGTAGAGCAGTTTCATTGATATTTGTAACTGTTATTTTTAGCGTGGCTGCAAGGCGTGATGAGTTATTTGTCTCAACTGGTAGTGGTCTACTCCAACGAGTTACCTGGGATGGCTTCCTTGAAGGAGGATTGACTTTGTCTATTCACTCCTTACCTTTTACAAATGACCTAGAAAATGCAAGAGGTAAATTTACACTTTTTACATGACAGTTTAACTGTTTTACTTTTTGTGAAATAATCAACAAAGAAGAACAGGTATTATTCCTTAAACTTATTAAATAAATGATGTTTCCTTAGCAGTCATTGAAGTCATCTATCATTTAAATGCAGAATGCTGGATAAAACAAATCTTCTTTTTGCATTGTTGCATGTAAGGCCACTGTCAGTTTTCACCATTGAGTTTGGTAGGCTGCTTTTTGTTCCAGGTGGCCTCTTATCCAGCCTCTATCACTCTATCTTCTTCTCTTTCTACTATTATCCTTTGTCTTTCTTTGGTTTTTCCTCTCTTTGCATAGTCATCAGGGTTCCTTTCGTAGAAAGCTCGCACTTAACTTGGTGGGTGATCCGTTCTTGTCAGAATGTTGCTTGAAGAAAAGATAACATTATTTTTTCTCAATTTTTTTAGCGATTCCTTTAAAAACAGAAGGTGTGAGTTTTCGAGCAATGGAGTACAGTCCTTTACTTGGAGGGTTTGCTGTGGTGCTGGCAGATGGCAGAGGGGGATTTTTATCAGCTGACACAGCCAGCTTTGAATGCTCTGTAAGTATGATCTGCAGTGACAGTACGTGATTAGCGATTCTCAATTTTCTTTGTGTGTTGGTCAATTGAAGTCACTGTATTCATTTATGTAGATGTTATCATATTTTATCTACAAATGCTTTAAGTATGCAGAGCTACCGGTATGCAAAGTTTTTGCATTTGTCATAAGCAGGAAGTATTTGTCAGTAGTAATCTTTCAATTTTTACCGTGGGACTGTTTCAAGTAATGCTCCATCCAAAATTTAATGATAAAATCTTTGGTTAGTCTTTTTAAATCAGCTAATAACTTATATTTACTAACTAAAGTTAAATAATTGTGAGAACTAAATTACATTACAATGATTGTCATTTCAGGATATCATCGGATTGTGGGCAAGAGATTTAAGCTCAGCCACTTGTGTTGCAATCAATCACAGATACAGATTAATAGCATTTGGATGCACTAAGTAAGTTAAGTTCTACTGTTTCCAGGTTCAATTGGAAATGGAGTGGTGGCCTTTGTGGGTGGAAAAAAAAAAAAAAAAAAAAAAGCAGAGAATACAGAGAGTAACTTGGAGCAAGGACCATAATAAACAACAATCTTAACACACATTTCAGGCTAGGTCACAAATTCAGAACCCTGGCTTCAGTGGTGGGAGACAA